TAACTAACTTATATTTGAATTTTCCAAACATGATGCCAGTAGGCCCCATGATGCCATTAAATTCATTTCTCTAGAATCGGCTACGTTACTTATCTTCATAACTTATAGCTCTCCATAAAATCACATCTTGAATAATAGTCCTAGCATCTGTTGATATGCTGAAATTATAAACTGCAACACCCAGGTTTATTCCTTTTGGAAGTGCTGATAAGACCCACATGTAATCGAAACTGCGTACACTCTGGATGGCAGTAGCTTTTGTAGGGCTAAGTGAGATTCACTGACTTTTAGGGAATAAATTCATTAGCTAAGACGACCATAGAAAGGGGTTACAGCTCTAATCCAAAATTTTTTCTTATATTCAAACCTATACACGACAATTTACTTGTTGACCAGTTAAGTCAGGTTACCTTGCTTCGCAATTTGGTCACTGTCGAATTCCCCTGACTATAGTCAAAATTTCCAGCATCGCGATGTGGTCTTGGCTTATTTCAAGAAGTACCGGTATCGCAGAGAGCCTTGCCAACCTCCCAGGGAAAAGTGATATCTAGCGCTTGACCAACTGTCTGCTAAACTATTGTCATTTCCCTTATTACTATCCTATCCCATTACATTCACCTAGTTCATACCCTCACTTGTATTTCAAAATATATCATCTATGTATATGAGGTATTTCCCAATTTTGCCCTTTTGAACGGCATCAGTTTGGCGTGATCTCACTACGAAGTTTTACCCCTTCCCGGTTGTGCCAAAAGTATTGATGCTTTTTGGCCTTTCTAGTCTGTTGTATACTTAATCAAACTTTTATCAGGATCTCCCTCTTGCCCTCCACGATCTGCTTCTTATCCCTCTGGTGCTCTGAGTTCATTCGGCCCATGCAGCATTATCCATGTTCATCAAGGCATTTTGCTCCTGTCTCTGCTTCAAACATATAATTGTTCAAATACTATGATATAATCAAGCAAGTATCCCAAGCCTTGGTCAACTTGAACTCCCTTTCTTCTTGCCTCTGTTTAACATATTCATAGAGTGGTATTTGTCGTTATCAGGCTCTTTGTGATCAAACCTGTGTTCTATTAGCCAAGTGGGAAATTGCCTCTGCTACCGCCGCTTCTATCGAATGGATGTATGGTGTAAATGTCTTCGATTTGCTTTTCACAATGCCAAATTTCCTTGTTGTTACCCATTTTTATACTCTATATCTCCATGTATGCGCGGACTAATTGTAAAAGTACTTTCATTTGTTTTCTAAATGTCCCCTAAATGCATCTTTGCGATCCCTTTTCTTCACCTTCTAAATACATACTTGATCCAGTCGATTTATTTTTCTAATCATGCTGATTTCTTATTTCCACCTTGTTTACTCAAAAAATAAGCTTAGATCATATATATGATGGCCAAAATGGTGTTGCGCTCTGGTTGCAGTCCCGTTTATATTAATAGTGTCGTTCCGACATCACTTTCACAACTTTATCGCAGCGTCAGGAAGACTTTGTGAACCACACCTGGTTCTGTGTCCTCTGCCATAGTATTCGTGCTTTCTAGCATCGGATCTTGATTTGATAAAACCCAAAAGGTTTCGTCGGCATCGTCAGTAAGAGTTGCCATGGTCAGCACAGAGTTACAACTTGTAAACGTGCCAAGGATAGGTGACCTCCTTGACCAATTTTCTGGTCGGTCATTGTCCATCCCTCCATGCTCCTATTTTTTGTTCTACCTATTAGAGTTGATAAATTTTATGGTGCGTATTCCATGCATCAAGTAAAGGAATATCAGAATATGCAAGAGTTCTATAGACTTCAGAAGCCCTAATCTTGGAAGGAGGTCTATCCGATCAGAAGCATTAGATATTGGTTGAATAATTCTTGGTGGCTAAGTGTAGGTCAAGAAAAATGACCGTTCTCTGGTAGGCTATGTCTATGTAATGACTCTTGTTTATAAACACCTGGATAAAGAAAGCATAGAGAATGATGCTGAAAGTTGAAAAAAGATGCAAGGAATGCTCTGAGATCAGTAGCCACTCTCTACAGCTAGTCTATGAAGCAAAGAGAGATATCCTATATAGGAGGTTTGGGTTATGAGGAAGGAAGAGGAGGATTAATTTGCTCATATCCCAACTTATTTGAGAATTAATTTGGTACTTGTGCATTTTTGGCATCAAAATTTCAATTATCAAAATTGCGCTTAATCGAGATGAAATATATCCCAAATAAAATAAAGGCAAATGAAATAATTACGGAAGAGTTTTCGTTGTAATAGCTAGATATCAGACCTTCGCTCAAGCATTAAGGCAAGTTTGGCCGCAAAAGGCCTTTTTCATCAGAATACAAACAATTTGATATGTTACTTGACTGTGAGACAGGCAAACATAATGCCCAACATACAATTTTTATTTTAGCACTAGTAATACAGCACTTGTTTGGACTAAATTAAAAGTTTAAATATTTGTGGGTGTTGATAATAAAATTTTCGAAAATCTTCCCAAATTTCAACTCTTTTATATGTAATACAAGT